AATAAAATAAAATAAAATAAAATAAAATAAAATAAAATAAAATAAAATAGATTTGCTGACTATAAAAAAATACTATAGAAATTAAGTCTATGCCTATTGAGACCCTAAAACTTCAACAGATTCAAAGAAGCAGATTGTATATGAACCAAGCAATGTGAGGGTGCTAAAGAAGGACATTTTTTCTGAAAACAATAGACCAACATTTTCTCATAACTATACAATTTACAGCCAAGGTGCAGATGGTGCATTTAGTTTTTATTTACTGTCAGCAGACAGGTTGGTGTATGTCTTCAAAATTATTAAGAACTGTTGGAATATCTGGCTAAAAAGCGATTACTTCACAATTCTTCTGAAACACATTTAAGTTGTATTGGCTTTGAGGTTTAAAATTCTTCAATATTGTGATTTGGGTTCTTGTACTTGGTGGAAAAGCTTCTGCTGGGTTCAAAAAGGAAATCAAATCTGATGGGCATTAAAAAAATATGAAGTGATGACTAACAACACTTCCATTCCCCTTTTCTCCACACTAACCAAGAACATCAAGGTCCTGGTTTCATCATGGAAGGTGTGGGCAGGAAGTAATTGTGGAAGGAAGATTGAGAAATAGGGATATTCCTCATTACATGGAAGAAGACATAAACACATGAAGGGAACACAGATCATTTCCCTAACAAGATGGGTCCCCTAGAGCTATATTGGATCAGGAGACAATTTGGACATGAATAGTGAAAGAAATAATTCCAAGGGCCTGAACACCTAAAATAAAATTCTTTTTCTTGATGTGAATGTTTAGATACTTTTCTCTGAATTCAAGTGTGAATGGGTTCTTAATTGGTCCGAATTCACTGCCAGGGCTGCAAGACAGACTTTTACTCTTCATTAAAGAGGTACTACAAAGAATTTTGCATTATTTATTATGCTAACAAATAATTACAAGTCTTAAATTAAGAAGGGTTAAGAAGGACACAACAAGTCAGGAGACTAGTTGGTTACTTTTGTAATAAACCAGGGTGTAAATGATGTTGACCTTCATTAAGGGAGGTGCATTATTGATGGAAATGAATAGCTGGATTTAAGATCTAAAGAGGAGCTAGTGTAAATGGAACCCATCTATGGAGGATGAAGAAAAAGGAGGAATCAAGGATGGAAAAGAGGCATTTGGCTTAGACACTGAGATGGAATAAGGTAGATGAAATGAATGGAATGCCATTTGCTGAGACAGGAAAGAAGAGGAGGAGGGTAGGATGTTTTCGAATTGCAAAAGATAGACCATTGAATTAACCAGATCTTACGGACATGGCTTTATTCAGTGGCACCTCCTTTAAAAATAGAGAGGGGATGTTGGGTGGCACAATAGATTGATCATCTGACTCTTGATTTTGGCTCAGGTCATGATCCCATGGTTCATGGGCCGGAACCCCATGTTGGGCTCTGTGCTGACAGTGCAGAGCCTGCTTGGGATTCTCTTTCTCCCTCTCTCTGTCCCTCCCCTGCTCTTTCTCTCTCTCTCTCTCTCTCTCTCTCTCTCTCAAAACAAACATTTAAAAAATAAAAGAGTAATAGGGGTGCTTGGGTGGCTCTCAGTTAAGCATCTGGCTTTGGCTCAGGTCATGATCTCGTGGTTTGTGGGTTTGAGCCCCACCTTGGGCTCTGTGCTGACAGCTCAGAGCCTGGAGTCTGCTTTGGATTCTGTCTGCACCTCCTTCTGCCCCTCTTCCACTCACGCACTGTCTGTCTGTCTGTCTCTCTCCCTCTCTCTCAAGTATAAATAAACATTAAAACATTAAAAATAACAAAAAGAAATAATAATAAAGAAAGAAATAGCCTGCATGTGGCATATACTTCAATTATTCTTAGAAACCTGCCTTTCTCGGGCCTAAATGTCCATCAACTGATGAATGGATAAAGAAATTGTGGTTTATATACACAATGGAGTACTACGTGGCAATGAGAAAGAATGAAATATGGCCCTTTGTAGCATCGTGGATGGAACTGGAGAGTGTGATGCTAAGTGGAATAAGCCATACAGAGAAAGACAGATACCATATGTTTTCACTCTTATGTGGATCCTGAGAAACTTGACAGGAACCCATGGGGGAGGGGAAGGAAAAAAAAAAGAGGTTAGAGTGGGAGAGAGCCAAAGCATAAGACTCTTAAAAACTGAGAACAAACTGAGGGTTGATGGGGGGTGGGAGAGGGGGGAGGGTGGGTGATAGGTATTGAGGAGGGCACCTTTTGGGATGAGCACTGGGCGTTGTATGGAAACCAATTTGACAATAAATTTCATATATTGAAAAAAAAAAAGAAACCTGCTTTCTCTATCTAATCGCTGACATTAAACTGGATTTGAAAAGGAGGGAATATCAGAAACATTTTTAAGCCTTTAAAGAACTATGTTATATCCTGCAACCTCTATTATCTCATGATGCTATCATACTAAAACTATAAGGGAAGTAGTCATATCCTCATATCATTTTAAAGATGATGTACAGCAAACTTTACTCTCTTTTCAGAGTAAAGATTTCTTGCTGGCATTTGAGGTAGTGACATGTAAAAGAGTAATGAAACTTGTGATATTTTCTTCCAGATGAAACCTCCAAAATAAATGAGCTCAAATTTTGGGTAGGCAGCTTAGGCATAATATGAAGGAGCAATATCTAATAATTAGAGCTACCTAATAATGGTTTTGGTTTTCAGGGAATCAGAAGACAAGGTGAATAGCCTTTCCCAGGGTTGCTATAGGTAAAGAAACTTTCTTCATGGGGAGGAAGATGGAATTAGAGTATCTCAGAATCCGGATAGAATATTTTAGTAGTCATACATAAATCTTTCACATATTTACCAAGCATGAGACAACATGGGGGAAAACGTTCTCAAGTTATTTTATTAGTTCTCTGAAAATCACGTTTGTATTATTGTCTTCATCTTGCACTTAAGGAACCCAGACACAGATAGGCAAGGAAAATTGTTCAAACTGTCACATAGCTCTTAAGTCCTGGAGCCAGAATTTCAAGTGAGTTTGCCGTGTCAGAAGAGTTTCTCAGCCTCAACACTATTAAAATTTTGATTTGCAGAATTCCTTGTTGTGAGAGTTGCCAGCTACTGACCTCTACCCACCAAATGTCAGTAGCACCTCCTTCCCCAAGTTGTGACAACCAAAGATTCCCTAGATACTGCCAACTGTTCCTTGGCAGGTGAAATTGCCCTAAGTTGATGGAGAACCACTAACTTACCGAAATATTGTTGGGCTTCAGTTCAATACTATCACTTCTGCTTCTTGTACTCAACTGTAGACCTCTATAAATTCCATATTGTTCATGTAGAATTTCCTTCTCCTTTTTACTAAACATTTCTTTTCATGATGTAAAAAGTCTGCACTGGTCCTATAATTTGGGATGTTTAAACTCATTCTTCAAGAAAGCAGGAAGCTGTCCATATTATAGAAAAACAAGTTGA